AGATATTTCAAAAACCTTCACCCTAATTTCTTGCGTAGAGAAGTACGGTACAAATACTGTGAGGGTTAGAAGCTATGCTAAGTTTTGATTTATATTTCGCCTTTACCGAAAGTTTAATTTTCGTCTTACCTCGATTGATATCCTTTATTTTATTTTCATTTTATTAATTTTATCTTTCGTTATTTGAATTTTCTTTTTTTTCCTATTCTTTTGTCTCTTTTCGTCGTGTTTTTTTTATTCATTATCCCTTAAAATCATCCAATTTTATTTTCTTGTCCCGTTAGCCCCGTGAATTGACTTCGCTTCTTTTTTCTCTCTTTTTTTTTTGATCCAGTTTTCATCAAATACGATGCCCAAGAGCCACTCAAAGTAGAGAGCTACTATGTGGAGTTGTATTAGCGTAAGAAAGGGCAAGATAACAGAAAGATAGACAGCAAATTCTAGATGTGAAAAGGTCAAGATTTAATACGCGAATTAAATTTCAGAGTTCAGGCGTAGACGTTAAGAGTATAGAGTTGAAATAGACTTTGGAAGGAACCGGAAGCCCAATCCTAAACCGGAAACAAGGGATGAACCTTTATCCTACTTAAAAGATCGGACAGATGTGTGAATCGTATTCTCAGTTTTCTTTCATTCCTTTTCTTTTTAGGTGATGCTTTCGTTCTTCTATTTTTCGTTTTCTTCTTCTCTTTCCTTCTATTATTTTTTAACTATTTTATTTTTATTTTCCTTTTTTATTTCTGTTAATCCTTGCAGGAAATTGCTTGTAGACTTTAATGCCTCTAAAACGAAACTGCTGTCAGTTACCCACCATAGAAAACACTCCCTGCCTCGCATCAGGAGAGCTGATGCTGAACTCCGCAAGAGTGTCTTTTTGCGCCTGTCTTGTCTCATGCTGTCCACTGACCTGAAGAGAAACAACTACATTGAATCTATAGCTTCATCTACCGCAAGGAAAGTTGATTCTCTGTGTCGCGCCAGAAGGTTTTTATCACCTGAGTCCATCCTTCAAATCTACAAATCAACCATTCATCCATGCATGGAATACTGCTGCCATATATGGTCTGCTCCTCCCGCTGTTCATCTCGAGGTCCTCGACAAAATCCAGAGACCGATATGCAACGTGATTGGTCCTGATCTGGCATCTCGTCTACAGTCGCTATCTCAGAGAAGTGTTGTGGCTTCCCTCTATCATTTCTACAAGTAATTGCATGGGAACTGCTCCGACGAACTACTTTCACTGGTTCCCAAACTGCTTGAATTTAAGCGTGCTACTAGGTTGGCATCTTGTTCCCACCCTTTCACTGTCGAAGCAGTTAAATGTAGCCGTCTCTTCTACTCCAACGGCTTCTTAACTCGCATCTCCTGTCAGTGGAAATCCCTTACTATCACTTGCTTCATGATAGCTATAATCTTCAAATATTCTTGTGCAATGTGAATCCACATCTTCTGATGCTTTGATCCATGTCCTTGTCTTTTTTCCTTTTCCTCAAACACTCTTCTTTACTCTCACTCTCTGTAATCTCTTGTGATGGTGGCACTCCCGCCTTGCATGGATTTGCTTAAAAAGAACTAAAACAAACAAACAAAAAAACAAAAAGAAAAGAAAAAAAAACTTATATCATTAAAAAAATATTGTGAAAATTTAGCTGTTTGCATTTTTATTATGCCTCTTATTAAGCTATCTGTATGTTTTTTTTTTTGGTAATGCCATTGTTCTTTTATTTTCGTTCTCTTTTTTTCATTTCCTTCTATTTTTTTTATCTTTTTTAAATCCTTGACTTAATTTCATTTATTTATTTCACTTTCTTTCTTTGTTTTGGTTTCTTTCTTTTATTTATTTTCTTCATTTTCTTTCGTACTTTCTTTTTCATTAGCTTTCTTACTTTTGTTTCTTTTTCTTTTCTTTTATTTCTTTCCTTTGGATTATTTGTTTCCCCTTCTCTTTCTTTCGTTTGTTTCTTTTTTGTTTCAATTTAATTCTTTCTTTTTTCTTTTGTTTGATTTTTAGTTCTTATTTTCTTTCGTTTATTTTTGTTTTGTTTTTTTTTTCGCATCATCTTTATCTCTTTCGTTTTCTTTCTTGGACTTGATTTTATCTGTTTTTCACTTTCTTTCTTTTTTTTTTTTTTGAAGTATTTTGATTTATTCTTTCTTTCGTACTTTCTTTTTCATTAGCTTTCTTACTTTTGTTTCTTTTTCTTTTCTTTTCTTTTCTTTTCTTTTCTTTTCTTTTCTTTCTTTCCTTCGGATTATTTGTTTCCCCTTCTCTTTCTTTCGTTTGTTTCTTTGTTGTTTCAATTTCATTCTTTTCCTTTTTCTTTTGTTTGATTTTTAGTTCTTATTTTCTTTCGCTTTTTTTTTTCACATAATTTTTGTCTCTTTCATTTTCTTTCTTGGACTTGTTTTTATCTGTTTTTCACTTTCTTTCTTTTTTTTTAAGTATTTTGATTTATTCTTTCTTTCTTTCTTTCTTTCATCTTCGTACATTCATTTCTAATAAAGCGTTCATTTATTTATTTGTTTACTCCTTAAAATCTAGTCATTGTCTTTCTCTTCTTTTTGTCTCTAACATATTTTTTTTTTAAATTTCACTTTTTCCTTCGTGATGTAGAACTGGTCTATTTACTTTTCATTTATTGTAATGATTTTTATTTTTACTCCCACCCCCCTTCATTAAACTCTTTCCATTTTCTTCTTTTAACTCCAATCTTCCATTATTTTATTTTATTTTTTAGCTGACGTCTGAGTTTGGATTTGTTTTATTGTTTTTGACGGCTTATATACCTTTTGCAGGTTTTTTAATGCCAGAAAATATGTTTTTAGATTATAATAATTTTTTTTAGAGAAAATAATGATATGCTCATAGCAGTCATTTTAATTAACCCAAAGTTGGGGATAGAAGAGACGGATTCATACATTTCGCAAGGATAATTGCGCCCACGTGAATATTACGAACTAAATTTCAAATCGGTTTTCCGATTTCCAATTCAGAGTCGTTATATATTACACCACCGACACGTCCAAGCATACATCATCTGGTATTCTGATGCGGTCACCCATGTAGTTATTGACCAAGCTTACCGTTACTTAACTTCGGTGATCGATCGAGAAGCGGTGTTTCAATGTGACATGGCTAAAAGCCAGGTGACGTCTTTGTTCATCGTTTTTTTGTTTTTGTTTTTGTTTTTTTTTATTCTTTTCTTATCTTTTGTTTCTTTCTAGTTTTTCTACGGTAGTTAATTCTGTCTTGATGTTTAGTTGATTTAGATTTTTATTCAATTATTCGTTTTCTTCCTTCAGTCAACAGGTTCATTCTTGGCTGTTTTTCAATCATTTCAACAATAATGAAGAGTGATTTGATAGTGCGGACGTAGAAACGCGGATCTTATCTGTATAGGCTTGAACTACACGGAGCAAAAGAATGAACTGGTCAGAACTTTTTTACAAAACCACAATTATTGGACAACCTGTGTGCGTTCAATTTTAAATTTAAATTTTTGAAGTAAATTGGAAAGGAAAACACGAAAGCGAGTACCACAAGCGAGAATTGTGAGAGAAGAAAATGTCAGCATAGGATTTACGGTTTCTTCTACCCAGTTCAACTGTAAAAATATATGGCTTTGCTACAAATCTACTAGAACGCTTAAATAACTAGCCTTGTCGTTAATTATTTTCGGTGATCGTACGGGAATCGGTGATTTCAAAGTGACATAGCCGTTCATGTTTTTTTTTTTTTTTTCATTCTATCTTTTTTTTCTTTTTCGAGTTTTCTACTATAGTTATTTCTTTCTTGATATTCAGTTGACTGAGACTTCATTTCTTCCTTTGGTCCACGGCTTCATTCTTCGTTTGCTTTTTAATCATTTCAAACCAAGCAAGGCAATAAAGTCACTAAAACGCAAAGGGTTACTAGATAAAAGAGAATGTGAGAAGAGAGCACTATTAAGGAGAGAGAATACTCTAAGGAGATGAGTTAATAAGATAGAAGTTAACGATTGACATCGAATTTGCATTTTTGAAGATCAAATTTAACTGGGAAGGAAGAAGCGGGAAAAGAAAGTGCGAGAGAAGAAAGTCTCATCATAGAATTTACGGTTGCATATGACCAGTTCAACTGTAAAATGATAAGACATTGCTACCAATCTATTAAGGCGCTTAAATTCATTAAGCCTAGGAACCATAGGGTAATGTTCATAAAAAAAATATAAAAAAAAAAAAAAAAAATTCACTCTAATCAAGGCAATAAATTCACAAAAACTTAATGTGTTACTGAATGTGAAAGGATATTTGAAATAAAAAGAAAATTATCTAGGAGAGAGAACAATAAGAGATTAAGAAGACAAGGATTAAGAAAAAAGAAGATAACGATTAACATGCATTTAATTTTTTTAATATAAAAGCTGATTAGAAAGTAAGAGGCCAGAAATGAGTTCCACAAGCGAGTAGTGCGTAAGAAGAAACTATTGGCATAGAACTGACAATTTCAGCTGTAAAATGATCACACCTAACTGTCAATCTAGTCCTACGCTTAAAGCCATAAAGTCTAGGAAATATCGAAGAAAGTTCATCAAAACAATTACATTAAAATTATTTATAGAAAAAGCACAGAGAAGCTACGTTACGGAGATGGGAATGTGACTGAAAACAAGATGCCAGATGAGAACCAATAACATCGCAGATTTTTATTCGGATTTTTTTATTAGTAACTAAATGGTAAGCAATAGTTTAGCAGACAATTATTTTCTCAAGAATTGTATTTCTGCTCTAATTCGTTACTTTGACATTTGAGGTCATATACAGGAAAACAAAGTAAATCGATTTTGATTAGCTAAGATAGCATGGGAATAAAAGATAGAACAAGTTTTCTCGGAGTGTCGAGTCTTATACGTCAACAAATGTAGAGCAATCCCCTCCCCACTGACTGGTTAGAAATGTACATGTCGACGTGTTGAATAAAATAGCTAAATTTAAAATTCCCTTTGTTGATGTCTTTCATCTCCGGACCCCAAAACATTTCTCTATCCGCCCCATAGAGAAAAGATACAACATTGTATTAATTTGAGCGGCGACCAAGTGCTCCCGAGAACGATAATACTCAATTTGGTGCCGGGACCAGGATCTGCCAGTATGTTTAGACGCAGAATTAGGCTTGCAACACAACGTGGAAAATTTCTGAGAGGATTTTCCGACTGAGGACTAAAAACAATCTAATGAAAAAAAAGAAAAGAAAAAATGTAATCTAGACAAAAGGACAGAAAAAACTTACTCTAATTACGATGACATCATATATTCAACGGCAGACACATGTACGCATCTTCAACAAATTAAATAAGATATTAATGATGAAAATATAAGAGACAGAAAAGGACGGATAGGGAAGCAAAGAAGAAAAGGACAATGAATAGCCATATTCATGCTGACATTGGTGAGACAATGTCAATTTTGATGAAACATTTTGGTGAGAGACTGATCTGGTTTTGTTTTATCTTTTTACAAAAATTTAGAACCACCTGCAGAAATAAGTTGTTGATTTTAATTAGCACGTTTTAATATTTTTATGTGCATCAAAATGTATTTCTGGCACCCTGTTTTCTTTCTTCTTATTATTATTTTGATTGTGGAGAAATCTGGCCGCGAAATTTTTGCTTTGAAAAGAAAATTTTTCTGGAGAAAGAAATTTGGCCAGTAAATAAATTTTCCTGATCTTTGAGAAAGTTCAGTAATGTGCAACGTGGAGTCTTAAATTCGCGTACGTAACGCAATAGAAAATTGTTTTGAAAAAGAAAAACCAATAACATTTTTCAATGGTGCATTTTCACTGTGATTTCTGTGGACTGTTAAGGAGTTGAAATTTCTATGAATATGATTTCGCGGGTTTTCAAACGCTTTAAGCTTAAAATTATTTTGTTAATTGTAATTAACTGACAAATTATTGTATTCTTTTTATTTTTGCAACAGGGTGTGGATTTTTTTTATCTATTTTAAGAGCCGTGTGTATGTCATTTTGCTTTAATTGGTTGACGAATATCTGCCCCATTGTTATTTGGTGAATTTTGTGACCTAATTTTTATGGAAAAATTAGGTTAATTACTTATATATTGGAATAAGTAGTTTGGGTCTGCATGTTTCCGAATGTGTTTGGGTCTTTGTCCTGAAAGTGGGGAATTTATCGCACCTAGCTATGTAGATAAGGAAACAATGGGGTGGGAGTAGAGGTTGCTTTGAGCTATAAATATTCAGTATTTAGTGAATATAACCCCAAGATACTTCCGGGGTCAAGGAAGAGCCCTGATAATCCAAAGAAATTGGTCAGGTAATTTGTGATATACCAGGTTGCGGCAGCCACTAAGGGAGGTAAACCCCTGTAACTAGGTAGATCCAGTAACGGATTAGTTAAGAGATGCTGAGCGGGTGTCGTTTTATTTCACCATGGGGCAGACAAGGCAGAACGAATTCAAATGATGCGAGCTGAGTTTTGACACGCAGTGGCAGATGGTTAATAATAGTAATTTTAGAAAATTAATGGTGGTAAATTTGTCGGTATCTGTTCAAGTAAATCTGGTAATATACAAATACAACAGTAATCAATTGATTGTGGTTGAATACATAGGGTGATAATGCATCGTGTGTGCTCTGTCACTGTGAGTAGGAAATAATTGGGGATCATAGTATATTTAAAGTGTAAATTTAGGTGGTAAGATCTTGGCTCACTTATGGAAATGATTGACACTAGAGGCTGGGGCTTTTTGGCATGCATTGTGTAATTTTGGACCATAATTTTTTTCTGGGAATTGTATGTAAATTCCGTGTAGTCTGAAGTGAACTGCGAAGGATTTTTTCTACCCAGTTATATTGGATTGCAGAGGTAGAACTTGCAGACCTTGATTGAGTGTACATAGCAGAGGTTAATGTTCACTGTTGGACTGACTTATATGCAAACTAACGGCTGAGGCGTTGGCTATGAACAAAAATAGAGAAAGGATTGTTTGGTATTCTATTTTTCTTTTTCTTTTTTTTTGTTTAAATTTGTGTTTGTGAAGACTGAAAAAATGGTCAGAATTTTGTTGTTCATGTTTAATTCTTTCTCAGGAAATGTATATGTGCATATAGGAGTGGTCATGTAAACAATGCCCAGTTAAGAACAAATGGAAGGACCATGCCTTGCAATCACAGAGTAGAGATGATTTTACATTAATATGGTTGAAATAAAAATCATAAATTACTTTTTTTTAATTATTGCCTAAGTAATGTTAAATTGTATTTTGACAAAGTATTATTATTTAGAGAAGCGTGTTCTGCTCTGAATTCTTCAGATTGATCTTTGAGGTCAAAATACAAGGTAAAACAAAAGAAGTCGATTGTAAGTCGCTGAACGAGCGTGGGAATGATTAGATAGAGGAACGCTTTCTTAAGCGTCGTACACTGTAGATGTGTTCATTTCGTGATTACAACGTCTACCAGTAGGGTGGGAGAACAACCTCACTGGATATTTAGAAA